GGCCGGCAGTTCCGCGGATGGCTGAGATTTGGCGCTGTGCTGGCCGGCTGGCTCCCATAAACTGAGTGATGGTGTTTCTCACATGGGTAAACATTTTCTCTCAGTAACTGTTTGGGGCCTTGTTTGGGGCCATTTTTATAGTCTGACACACTTCTTTTCTCAAAGGTTAAGGACCATCTTCTATTTTTATTGTCAAAGACCAAGAAGCATCCTCACAACCAGTGTAACTAAAAGGTTCAGGAACTGAAAAGTGATAATCAAACTTTAGGGCGCAGAAGACTCTCTTGGGGAGCCAGCCACTCCCCCGCCCCCAACAGCAGGTCATGGTGGAGAAGCCCTGTGTTCAGACTCAGAAACCTGCACTGCTAAGACACTCAGATGAGTGTGATACAATGGTTTGCCAACCATGCCTTAAGGGATACCACTGTCTACGGCTGCAAAGTCAGATTTACCCATAAGAGGTTCAGTGTGAATACATGGGTCTTAGGGACAAGTAACTTCAAAAAAAGTTACAGATGTAGCTGCTCTACATCTAGATGTAGAAATCAAAAAGCTACCACCATGTGCCCAGCCAGGCACTGTGGAAGATGTAAGGGAAATGTTGATAAATCTTATTTCCATAGAAAGGCCATTGATGTAAATGTAAAACCCAACAGGTTCCCAATGGAAAAAAAATGTGACTTACTTGAGTGGCAATAGGAATCTTATGAATGCATACTCAAGAACGTTCTATCATGTGGAGAAAAGGGAACCTCGTACATTGTTGGTAGGAATGTAAATTGGTACAGCCATTATGGAAAACAGTATGGAAGTTCCTTAAAAAACTAAAAATAGAATTACCATGTGATCCAGCAATTCCACTTGTGGGTATATATCCAAAAAAAAATGAAAGCACTAATTCTAAAAGATATATGAACCCCAATGTTCATAGCTTCATTATTTACCATAGCCAATATACAATGGAATATTACTCAGCCATAAAAAGTATAAAATGTTGCTATTTGCATCATCATGGATGGACCTAGGGAATATTATGCTTAGTGAAGTAAGTTAGAGAAAGACAAATACATGATATTACTTACATATAGACTCTAAAAAATAATACAAAATGAATGTATATAGCAAAACAGAAACAAATTCACAGATATAGAAAACAAACTAGTGGTTACCAGTGTGGAAAGGAAAAACGAGGGGGCAAGTTAGGGGTACTGGAGTTACTGGATTAAGAGATACAAAGTATTATGTTTAAAATAGATCAGCAACAAGGATATATTGTAGAGCTAGGGGATTATAGCCACTATCTTATAATAAATTTTAATGAAATACAATCTGTAAAAATACTGAATCATATGCTGTACATTTGAAACTAAGATAATATTGTAAATCAACTATACTTCAATTTAAAAAAAAGAACATCATATAGAAACTCATATAGGACATCCTATGAAGAATACAGAATGATGCAGTTTTTTAAAAACTGAAACTTATTAAGTCCACAAATGATAAAGGCTAGAGAAGGTGTGGAGAAAAGGGAACCCTCCTACACTATTGGTGAGAATGCAGTTTGGTGCAGCCATTGTGGTAAACAGTATGGAGATTCCTCAAAAGACTTACTATATGATCCAGTAATCCCACTCCTGGGCACATATCCAGAGGGAACATTAATTCAGAAAGATACCTGCACCCCAATGTTCAGAGCAGCACTATTTACAATAGCCAAGACATGGAAACAACCTAAATGTCCATGGACAGATAAATGGATAAAGAAGTTGTAGTATATTTATACAATGAAATACTACTCAGCCATAAAAAATAATAACATAATGCCATTTGCAGCAATATGATGGCCCTTGAGAATGTCATTCTAAGTGAAGTAAGCCAGGAAGAGAAAGAAAAATGCCATATGATATCATTCATATGTGGAATCTAAAAAAAAAAAGACAAATGAACTCATTTATAAAACAGAAACAGACTCACAGACATAGAAAACAAACTTATAGTTACCAGAGGGGAAGGGGTTGGGAAGGGATAATTTGGGAGTTCAAGATTTGCAAATTCTGACTGGTATATATAAAATAGATAAACAAGTTTATACTGTATAGCACAGGGAAGTATATTTGATGTCTTGTAGTAGCTTATGGTGAAAAAGAATATGAAAATGAATGTATGAATATTCATGTATGACTAAGCATTGTGCTGTACACAAGAAATTGATTGTAAACTGACCATACTTCAATAAAAAAGTAATAAATAAATAAATTAATTAATTAATTAAAAATTGAAACTTCTTAAAGTTTTAAAATTGAAACATTTTCTTTCTATATTTTGATAACATTTTGTATGATCTGATTATACCTCTATACTTTGGACAGTATTAATGTAATACAATATATATCTCTGATATCACAGATAGTATTTGCAAGAACTGTTACCCAGGAATAACAACACCTCATCTGCCCAGGCTTTATTCTTAATCTTGCATATGAGGATTTAGAAGCAAAAATTCTTTTTAAATATCAAATTTCTATTATGCGTTTAGCTCAATGGCTTTAGACTAGGATTCTGATTTTTCTGGTAATACTCCATATGACTTTAGCCAATGAGACTAAGCCAATTATATCCACAAGTATGCCTCAATTTTCTCATTGGTGAGAGGGGGCAATATATTACTGCTCTACTGCATATGAAGACAAGATTACCACAAGATAACATGCAAGAGAATCCTCTGAAAAATGCTATAAAACTGGAAGGTGTTACCGAGATGTGGTGAAAATGTATGACCAAATGTTTGTAAAGTTATTTGGTGGGAAAATGACCGGGCAGTTTCCTCTTTAAGATGGACGTAGGATGACCAATCAGGGACAGTCAGAATCTAGGGACAAGATGGGACTGGTATGAGAATGGATACAGGAAAAAGAGAAAATTATTAAAGTAATGGAATTTTCCATTAAAAAAGAACATTTTAACTCAGATTGTCCATTTTCGGATATCCCTTTGAAGCAGCTGTAAGGATAAAGATACACATCTTTACAAAGTTAATAACCAGCAAATATGCTTGCATTTTTCTGTCATTCTCTTGATCCCCTTTTAGTTGGAGTTTCTTGCATTTTAAATTCCAAGATTATCTAGTGTCACTACCATGATGAAAACCCAGGTATTTATGCTTACCTGAATTCTCCACCAGGTTAAAGACTTTTGTCCTGAAAGTATATTCTGACCATTTGACAGTCTGGTAGTTCGTTAACTTTTGCCAATATTAATCTGTTATTGAAGGAGTGATTCAATCTGTGTACTCAGTTGTTCAGAACCAGTCACTCAGTGACACCAGATTCGAAATCCGGAAAGGCATTTCATTTTCTCTCAGTCCTGAAACATGAAAATAAACAAAAAATGCTCAGGCCGAGAATTGTGTTGAAATACATAAACATGTGAAACTTAGTGACTCAGAGTGTTAGTCACAGAGTCACTGGTTGGAGTCTGGATGAAATCCATTGTGAACAAAGGCCAGTAATAATGATGATGATATTTTGCTTTTTCTTAGTGCTGAACAAAAACCCTTCACAAATGTTACAAGTACAAAAAAAAAGAAAAAAGATACTTTCTTCCAGATATTCAGGCTAAGTAAGAATCTTGCAACCTTTGAGGTATTTTTATCCCCTCTACATAAATACAGAAAAAAATAGAGTTGCAAAAAATTCTAACACAAGAACAACTTAAGCAAAAAGCCTAATTAGTATTCAATTAGCATAGTGAGCCCTGTTTCCTGGCCTCTTGTTTGAAGCAGAAGGGATTCAATGTGTAATCTTAGAGGTAAAAAAAAGAGAGAGAGAGAGAAAAAAAAAAAGGCTCGATAGCTGTTCTTACAAAGAAACCCAGGAGCTATATTCATAATTATGTTTTGCTTTATTATACTTTCATTGGCAATTAACCTTCCACTGAAGAACGCACAGAGGGTAAATTTAAGTCTGTTCTTTTGCAAATAATGTCAGGCATGAGTAATCGCATCAACAGAAAGTGCTGGGCTGCCTCAGAGATATCCTCCCACTATCTCCACATCTGACCGGAACAGGAGTTGGAGAGCTTCAGAGTGAAGGAATAATGTGTCCATGTGTTCCTCCAGATCTCAGAGTCCTGGCAGCCGACCTCAACTCTCTTGGCCACCATAAAGCAGTCATTGAAAGGACACAGCTGCAGGAACTAGAGGCTAAGGACTAAATAAATCCACAGGGCTTGAGGCACAAGTCATGTACATGACCCTAACACAATACCTTGTGGTTGTGAA